CATTCTTTTATCCCACAGACATCTGTCTTCCATATTAATAACTTCATATTAGCAAGCACCCAAAGGGTCACTGGATTGACAGTTTTACATAATGGCAATCAATAAGACAAAATGTAGGATGTTTTGCAGTGTGTCTTGAGTTTATGCTGTGCATAGATTGATACCTGTGCAGTTTGCATAGCAGTCCCTTGATATACTAGTGGTCGACTAAAATGGGCTTTTTAATGGCTGATGCCAATATTTAGAAAACAGGCTGACTGATGGCCGATATATAATCCTGATATCAAAACAAAGAAAAGTCCTGTATAATTCTAGATTATTTTTAAGGTATTTTAAATACCTTAATTTTTACATCCCAGTGTGAATAAGCAATCGTAACATGTCAGATATTTACATTTTTAAATATGTGGCAATGTGACGCCCGGATAGTTCACCTGGTACAGCTGGCGCCCCATGAACCAAGGCTGAGTCCTTGCTGCAATGGCCATGGGTTCGACTTGTGGCCCTTTGCTTGTCATCCCCCCTCTCTCCCCCTTCATGTCTCTCTTCAGCTGTCACTATCAATTAAAGGCAATAAAAGCCACCAAAAATTGTGGCAATCTGGAATACAGGAATATTGAGTGCACTACAGAGGCTACTTCTATCAGCCATTGGGTTGCATACAGTCTAGACAACATGTACTGAATAAAATATGGTTTCTATTAATTTTATGATGTAAATTAATAAAAGGGCTAACACAAAAACAGTTGCAGGCTGTATCTGCCCCAGGACCTGCCAGTTAAAGGCCTGGGCCTGTAGGATCACATCAATATAGAGCTTAAAACCATTTGCATTTACGTGTTAAACACATTAATTGATTTGACTATGAAATGCTTCACTCTATCCTTGAAAAAGACTAATCCAGATGCTGTATACATTATTGGGGGAAATCATATTATTGAGAACATGTACGCCTTTAATTGAGCTTTGTTTAAATAAACTGAAACATTAATTATTGTGTTAATCATGTATTATTAGATTAGTAGAGGTTTTTCTGTCCCTAGACAACATTCCTACTTTGCTTATATAGCAGTGCTCTGAGCCATCCATCCTGTTGATTCCCAATAGAACTCATTTTACAGTGGTTTATAAATAGATAATACTGCAAAGCATTGTGGAATGTCTATTTTTAACCTAGTTAAAGTCCAAAATAGGACAGAGCACCGTGGTTTTCACTCATAAATGATCCTCCGGTCTTGACATATGTGACATTGGTAAAATTGACTTGTTAGCATTGACTGAATGAAGTTGTTATTCCTCTGATTACACTTAGTTATGTCCTCAACTCACAAGTATACACACATGTACGCAGGGTGCAAACTACAGGGGACCTTGCCTCCTCTTAATAAGACATGAGCTAGTATACTGACATTATCAGGATTGTTGCGGCCAAAAATGTCTGATTTCTTTCTGCTTTTAGGCATTTTTTGCAATGAAGTTTCAGGAGAAAGTGAAATAATTAATTAAATATTGAAGGCAACTTGTTCCACTGAGACAGGGTTTGGTTGAATTTGCGTTAATTGTTGTGATCGCAAGTTCCTGGAGGGGCGGCAATATGATATTTTGGCCATGCATTTCTATTTTTGGATTGTGTAAACTTAATATTGACGCATAATTGTGCACGAGGGTGACTCATCACTAATATGCTTTAAAAAGGATACTGTTATTCTTGCGCTAAAAGTGAGCTCCCCTAAAAGCCATGGTATAGTTCGCACACTGCACACACATACACACATACATCCATACCTGTCAATCACAGTGATACTCATTATTACGTGCACAAACACACATGCACAGAGCTCATATTGGGTCCTCTGCCATGTCAGTACCTGCAAAAGCCTGTTTGTGTGTGAACAACCATTCAATTAGCAATTTCTGTATATTTGACTTAACACCAAAAAGGAACCAAACCAAGATAAGACGGCAATATCTAAAGTAGCTTTATGACATTCCTGTTGAGACAAATTCAGTGTCTGTTGTAATCTATAATAAATCTCCAGTGGTAATAATTGTGGGTCCCAGATCCCCCAGTTGCTCACAGAGTAGAGCGTGTACCACGTGTCAAGTCCCTACCGCAGCGGCCCGGGTTCGAGTCTGGCCTGAGGCCATTTGCTGCATATCATCCCCCCTTTCTCCCCTGCTAGTTCTATCTCTCTCTGCTGTCCTGTCAATAAAAAAATGGCAAAAACACATAAAAAACATTAATAGATGTGGGTCCCTGTTTTCCCATGTATTCATGATGACCAGAGCAATAGTTGTATCCTGTGTGCAATGAACCTAAGCGCATATTCAACTGCATTTGCTATTTTTGTTCAGGTCGATGCATAAAAGGGTCATTATGTCAGTTGCTCACATTACTCATGTATTATTTTGCATGGAACTTTGTGAACTGTTTGTGCTCTGTGCATTCCCGCTGTGTCTCTGTCTCCCACACTCCTGATGCACAGCTTAATTTGGGAAGCTTTGTAGAATGTGGAATTAAAAGCAACTAGTCTTTTAAGTTTGCTTGACTATTTTGCAGCAGCTTGTTGCTAGTTCATGATTTAATCAGGGGTACCCACAGAGGGTCAAGCAAGCAGAAATGTGTTGTTCATTGGAAGTATGCAAATGTTTCATTTGGAGACTGCAGTTGGAAAATGTGTATCTGTCCTATGGCTTTCAGATGACTAGGTATTCAATCATCTATCATTCTACAATGCAGTACAGACTCTGCTGTGCTGGCATTATTGCCATAGTCATATTCCTTTTGTAGTTATTGATCCAAATGTCTCTTCTGGTTGAAGTAATTGGTTTATTCATATTGATGACAAAATTCAGTCAAATGATTGACATTCATCAACAACAGGTGTGGTCTTTGGTTGTCAAATCTACTTATTTTTTTCTGTATCACTAATGTCACTCACCAAGTGTGTTTACAGAGACTCACCAAGTGTATAGCAATTTTATCCACTAAAACAATAGATGATTTGTGTCTTTGGTCTATGATCAGGCATGTTTTGTTTGGGTGGAACAGCTGGTCTAATCTACATGCACTGACGCCATGAGAAAATCAAAACATTTCTAATGCCGACAAGTGGTTTGAATGGTTGAGAGTACTGCCAGTGTGTGACTTAGAACTGAAAACACTGGATGCATTTGGAAATAATGTTGGATATGCTTCAAATTCCCTTTCCAATTTCCAGCTTTCCACTAATCCATAGCCCTGTTGTAACCCTCCCCTTCCACGAGAACTTTTCTTTGTCTTTGTAACCCATTTCAAATGCGTAGTATGACCTTTGCTGATTAATTGCAGATATTTTTGTGCTGTAACGTCAACCTAGTCAAATCAGGAGCAGACTCATAAAAGGGAATTTTATATTCTAATAGTCCATATGATCACCTGTTACAGACATACTCTGCTTATAGATATCCCCAATATAACAATATTGCTTAACATTTTTGGGTACACAATCAAAGAGTAATTTATTTATTTTTAATGATGCTGCTCTAAAACATGGTTGATAGGTTGCTAAAATATCAGTAAAGTTAGAAGAATTTATTTGATCGAAGTTTATTTTCTCTCTTTGGTTTAGTAAAGATGACTGTGTATAGTCATGGCAGCTATTATAAACAAATAATAACATAATAATATTATTAACATATCCATAAGCAACTATCTAGAACAGAGTTTTCATCTGAACGGGACTGCATTGTCGAATCACATTAACAGCAGAAGAGGTCTTTGTTTGACTGAACAGTCTAAAGTAGAGCAGTCTGTTTAATTATGAGGTAGCTTGACAAAGTAACAGCACATCTCACTGACAGCAGGCTAGCTCAATAGCTTTCTAGTGTCTACAGTGTTGCACTTTAACTCACAAAAATAAATACACACACACACATCTACATTCTAAATAAAGATCTATTGGAATAGAAAATAACACTGGTTATATTTTCCCCAGTGAACACAGATTTATTTAAATCATTTGTTATTTGTTACTTTTTTGTGCACAGAAAAGAAAATGAAGTACAACTTTGACATGTGTCATGTCAACGTAGGCAAAATCTATCTGGTCTTCACTTACAGAGACGTGTGGTGAGAACACCTCAGGGACTGAAGTCTACAAAAGCTAACTACACAGATCGAGCTGCAAAATGGAGAGTATCTTCTGTGCTATGTTAAATTTAATGAGCAAAGGAACATGGTTTTGCACTTTAGTAAGAGCTATGTATTCATGGCTTAGCAAGGGTTAGCAGCTCTACAACATGTTCTACATTGGACAGTTTTCTAGGGAGAGATAGAGTGAGATGGCAGGGAAGGCAAAGAGATACGAGGAAAAGAACGGAATGTATTTTTAGATGAGCATCTAAATTGAGTTGCCTTTTGTTGTTGCTGTTTGTGTTACCATTCTGTGGTTTTTGGTGTGTTGATACTATCAGATTTTCACAGATTAATTCAGCCCGCAGAGCCTCGAGTTCTGTCTAAATAGTTAAATGTCAAATTCAGCTATTTTTCTCTGCTTGGCAAATTGGTGACAATGAAATGCTAATCGACCTAAGAGGGAGAGTGTGTCTCATCTTGTGCAGGAGCTATTGATCCACTGTGGAGTCAAACCAGAGCCTGCAGCTACAGACATTTACTCAAGTCAGGCTTAGGTATACTGTTATTCTATATGCTTCCAACATTCATGTAAGAGAAAGAGGAGGTGTGATGGTTGTTTGGAATGTGGAAGTAGGTTTGATTGTTTACAATTTATGATGTGAGCTCATATAAACTGATTAATGAGCTTGTGAGCAATCTGATATTTTTATAGATTTGATATGTCACAATGACTATAGAGAGACAGGCAGCTCAAGTGCTTCATGTTGTCATTCATGATGTCAACGCTGTCACCATAGTGTAAAATGCTAAGTTTTGGTAGCAAGAAGTCATTGTCTCAGAACATCTAGTAACTTTATCCAATGGTTTTCCTTCTTCTGCACAGACCTAATAGAGGTGGTGGTGAGCACTCTCTCAGAAGCTGCACTAGTCCACTTGGATGAGGAGGGGCATGCTGGGAAGAAGGTCAGCCATCTTGTGTTACAAGCCCTTCTGGAACTGCTTCACAACATCCTAAAACAAACATCTGTTGTGGTCCGCTCCGCACTGCAGGTATGAACACTCAGACACAGCTAATGAGAACAACAAAGTCACCGCCCTGTCTCTAACAACGGCCACCAAGCTGCCAAGATGTATTAGCACTGCATTTCAAAGTATGCCCTACCCGAGTGACAGAGATTATGGTTGGTCACTTGCAGTTGCTACTACAGTCTCTGTTGTATTTGGTGCTGAAAGAAAAAAGGAAACAAACTGACGCTCTTTGAGTAACTCAACAAACTAAATGCAAGTCTCCTAACCTCTTTCTCTCACATTCTAGCATTTCATGAATGAGAACCCATTGATGCTGCACATAAATGACCATTCATTGTTATAATTAGAAGTTCATGTGGATGTGATCTCAGCTCTGTGGCTCTCTGCTTAACTACCTCAAAACGTGTCTGTAGAGCAAAGAGTCTCTACAGATACAAGAGTCCTAATCAATATCCTTACTAACATTTAACTTCAATTTGATTAAACTTCTAAACACCACTGCATTGCTGCAGTCTTCACAAATAAATCTGTAGACAGCCACAGTGGCTTGTCTTTTTCATTTTTTTTTTTTTTTCAAATGTGTTGTTTTGCTGTATCATGATACATTTGGACCTTATAGGCTGGTGTATTTCCCACATTGATTCACCACTATTTACCAGTTTCATCTCTGTTGAGCACAGAATCACAAAGTCAACTCCCTCAAAATGTTGCCCTTGTATCATGTCCCTAAAGGCATGTGTGTACGTGTGTGTTTGTGAGTTGTGTGTGTGTCCATTGATGTGTGCAGTGGAAGCTAGCAGTTTTAAGCAACTGCAATATTGAAGTTGTGGACTCAGGAGAAAGGGGATGAGGTCCCGAGTCCATGGGACACATACACATACACAGACATGCACACACACGCACACTCGTACTCATAGGCATACACAGAGGGGCCTGTCTGGCTATGTCCCTGCGGCCTCATTATCACCACTGGCTTTGTCCTCAGCTTGCCTCCGTACACACACACACACACCCACACACCCACATACGCTCACATATAGATGTACACACCAGCCCCCATCTCCCCATAGTGTGCACCCCAGCCCAACGCATACATATTAATGCCTGGACAGGGGAGGGGGGCTGGGAGGACTAAAGGGGAGGCAGGGTAAAAGACTGGGTGGAAGAGAGAAGGACAGAAGAGGAAGAGGAAGGATGGAGAGATAGAAGGAGAGAGAGATGGGAAAGGGAGCAAGCAGAATGTGCAGCGGAAATCAATTCTGTGAGAAATGCAAAGCTCATTAAAAAGAAAACTTCTGCCCAAACCTAATTCATTTGGGTAATAAGGTCTGATAAGGAGAGAGGACGTGACTAGACCGCTCTCCCCAAACTCTTACTCTGTTGGTCAAAAGAGAGAGAGAGTCAGAGATTATATATACTACAGAAGAAAAAAGAGAAGGAGAGAGAGCATAACAGAGAAGAAGCGACTTTGGGAAAGAGAGAGAGAAAGAGAAAATATGTGCCAGTATTAATCACATTATTTCACCTCTAATTGGCCTGAAGTTCCACTGTAGGCATGAACTGAACTAAAATAAGCCAAAGTGAGGAACAGAGGTGCTAATGAGGGGGGGGGCAGAAAAAAAGAAGAGGGTGAGAAGACTGAAGTCTTAATGAGATGCAAAAATGACTCGATGTGACAAATAGAGAAAAATGTTCAACCTGTGTTTCCCTGAACACATATTGTGTTAAAGAAGGGTTAAAATAACAACGTATGCAGAAAACTTATTTCCTCTCTTAGTCTATCTATCTTTCTCTGTCTGCCTCAGTCTGTCAGAATCTGTCTTGGCAGGTCTCTGGATCCATCATTATTGACTGTCAAATCTCTATAAATGATTTAACGTGTGTGTGTGTGTGTGTGCGCGCGCGCGCGCGCGCGTGTGTGTGCGTGCTTATGTGTGTGTGTATAGAGCCAGAGGCTATCTTGTCCAGCAGTGGAGATGGAGGCAGCAGAGAAGCTGCTCCTAGAAAACCGACCCCTGAGCCAACTCAGCACACACCTCATTCACATGGTGAGAACAACACTCACAGAGCTTGTGTGTGTGTAAATGCTTTGCATGCATACATAAATATTTTCTGTTTGCTTTTGCATGCATGTTTGTGTACTGTATGTCTAAATGTTTGTCTGATACAGTGAGACAAACTGTGTATGTATGTTTATTTATGCGAGGAAGTGTGTGTGTGTGTGTGTGTGTGTGTGTGTGTGAGGGGGAGAGAGAGATAGAAAGAGAGAACATGCTTATTTCTCTGGTTATGTGTTCCTTCTACACATAAGTAATACTTGTATTAGTTAGCAGGCTGAGTGATACAAATAAATACAAGTACTACTCATACAAGAAATAGATCTCTAGTTCAGATTGAATGTGACTCCTTATGCAGTTGCTAATGACCAGCACAGTCCCTTCCACTGTACATCTCTGTGTGTGTCACCTTAAAGATTTTATGAGCTTTATCATTTCACAGTTGATCCCACAAATTAGTTTGACTTGTTTACAACAAGCTAGTTTGATCTCCACTTCATTTCTATTTTCTACATAACTCACATAATATTTAAAATAACTTTACATGTAAAGGTAAAGCTGTGGTTTCATAAGGGAGCAAAGCTAATTCTGTAAAACTATATTAATTTTCACTAACACTGAATGAATCTATTAAGACCTGTAACTAGATCTACAGCTTCCTCTCAGACAAAATATGTCATTTCTTAAACCTCCTCCCATGTCTGACTGCACTGTAAACAGCAACACTACTCATCAAGCTCGTTTAAAAGTTTTTCCTTAATTAGCTGTCTTCCCAAGAAGTGTGTGTATATCTGTTATGGTAATGAAGTTTATCAAGCAATCTTGAAATGGACTTTCATGCTCGGACTTTGTGCCCATTGTCAAATTCCTTCAACTACCAGTTATTACAAATATTAATCCCATAAATCTGCAGAAAAGGCTCTTATATCTGCAAGTGCCAGCTTAGAACGTGATGCAATCTGAAAAATAGGAAGATAAGAGTGTGTGCTATCTTTGCTTTTCTGCTGAGAGAAATGTGGAAGTGTTATTGCGGTAGCCATTCATACATCCACACCTTCTGGCACTGTACACACTACTGAGAATAGAATAATCACTGAAAATCAGATATGTGATGCAAAATAACCCCCTCCTCTATCTGCACTCAAAATCTCATAATTATGATTAAAGTACTTTAATGTTAGACTTATAATCAAATTGGATTGCTTGATGAATGGTGGTCTTTGTCTCTTGCCTTCTGGAACTTTGTTTACATTAAGCTACATTAAGAAATTAAACATCATTTGTAAATATTTCTAAACAAGACGGTGACTTAGATTAATAGGTCAGGAGTTCAACAGAAGAAGGTAGGTGGGTTCAAAAGAATGAAACAGAGGTGAAAGGATGAAATGAGATTCATGGGCAAGGGGAAAGGAAAGATGGAGAGAATCCATTCAAAAGAGAGAGGGTGCCGTGAGGCATCCTGGGAAGTTGAGGGCGTAAAGAGAGGAGGGGGGAGTGGGAGGAGGAGAAGTGGAGGTCTCAAGAGACGCAGTAGACGTTTTCACTTCTACTTGACACATTGAGTGTTGGGTGGGCGTCTGTGTGTGTGGTTGTGTATGAAAGGGTAGAGGGGGCAGCTGACACACCCCCGGCCTCTGTGCAGCCCCTTTGACCCCCCCACCCCCCTTTGCCCCATGGGAGATTAGTGGGATAGAGCAGCAGCGTCAATATGATCCCTGAATCTAATATTTCTGAAGAGTAGTGTGGGCTAATCATTGATGCATGCTCAAGTGCTATGATTTACTCAGTGCATTGAGTTAATTAATTTGGCAAGGGTCCGTAACCAGAAGCAGCCTCGCTAGGATCCACACGGTTTAGAGTGAACATTGATCCTGGATGCTTTCATGTAACTTCTTTTTTTCAATATATAGTTTTTCTGGCTTTTTTCTGCCTTTAGTGATTAGGGCAGCTGAAGTTAGACAGGGTAGGGGGAGAGAGAGGATAACATGCAGCAAAGGGCCACAGGCTGGAATCTAACCCAGACTGCTGTGGTCAGGACTCAACCTTAGCACATGCCCCATGTAACGTTTTTTTTTATATATATATATATATATATATTTACTTGGTATGACTTTCAAATTAATTGATATATCCAAATACAGTAAATCGTTTCTGGAAGTGTTTGTGTGAACGCTGCAAAATACGTTTTTTATGTAAAATGGCTTTATTATTAATCTTGAATGTGTGCTTTATAGGGGTGTCACGATTTCGAAATCGATCGAAATTACATCT